ATCACATATTTGCCCCTCAATTTCTTCATACTTTTCATCATGGGTCAAGAGAACTTTCAAATTCTTCATATGAAAAAGAGCAAAAGACATCACAACAGAACCAATGAAATAAAAGGGATCATATCAGGATACTATGAAAAACTGTATTCCAACAAATTTGAAAATCTGGAAGAAATGGACAGATTTCTAGAAAAACACCACTTACCTAAACTAACACAGATGGATGTGGAAAAGTTGAACAGATCCATAACAAAAGAAGAAACTGAACAGGTCATCAAAAAATTACGAACAAAAAAAGTCCTGCCCAGACGATTTCACTGGAGAATTCTACCAAACATTCAGAGAAGAGCTGATACCCATCCTACTCAAACTATTCCAAAACATAGAAAAGGATGGAATCCTCCCTAACTCATTTTATGAAGCAAGCATAACCTTGATACCAAAACCAGGCAAAGACACCACTCAAAAGGAAAACTACAGACCAATATCCCTCATGAATACAGATGCAAAAATTTTCAACAAAATCCTACCCAATAGACTCGAACAACATATCAAGAAAATCATTATGACTAAGTGGAGTTCATATCAGGTATGCAAGGATGGTTCAACATTAGAAAAACAATCAAAGACCTCCACCACATAAATAAAACAAAGGAGAAGAACCACATGATCATATCAATTGATGCAGAAAAGGCATCTGATAAAATCCAACACCCATTCCTGATCTAAACTCTCAGCAAAATAGGAATAGAAGGGACATTCCTCAATGCAATAAAGGGCAAAACCAACAGCCAACATTATACTCAATGGAGAGAGACTAAAACTTTTCCTCTTAAGAACAGGAACCAGACAAGAATGCCCTCTATCACCACTTCTAGTCAACACTGTACTGGAAGTCCTAGCCAGGGACATAAGGCAAGAAAGGGAAATCAAAGACATCCAAATTGGTAAGGAAGAAGTCAAACTATCCATGTTTGCAGATGATATGATCCTATACCTAGAAAACCCAAGAGACTCAAGTCAAAAATCTACTGGAACTAATTGAGAGATTTAGCATTGTGGCAGGATACAAGATCAACATCCAAAAATCAGTTGGATTCTTCTATACCAGCAAAGAGATTGGTAAAAAGACAAATAATCCAACTAAAAATGGGCAAAAGACTTGAACAGACACTTCACCCCAAGGAAGATATTCAGGTGGCCAACAAACAAATGAAGAAATGCTCACAACCATTAGCTACTTGTTGTTGCTGTTGTTGTTATGTGCCATCAAGTCGGACCCGACTTATAGCGACCCCTCCATAAGTTTCTGAGGCAGTATCACTGTAGAAGTAGATTGCCCAACCTTCTTTCTGAGGAGTGGCTGGAGGGTTTGAACCGCCAGCCTTCTGGTTAGCAGTCAAATGCCTTAGGCACTGTGCTACCAGAGCTCCCCCCATTAGCTACTAGAAAGATGCAAATCAAAACAACATCTTGCTCTAGCACTAGTAGCAAAGTTCAACAAGACAGAAAATAAATGTTGGCAAGGATGTGGAGAGATTGGGACTTTCCTACACTGCTGGTGGGACTGTAAAATGGTACAACCACCATGGAAAGCAGTATAGTGACTCCTTCAAAAGTTAGAATTAGGGATACGATTTGACTCAGCCATTCCATTACTAGGTACATATCCTAAAGAAGTGAGAGCCATGACAAGAACAGACATATGCACACCCATGTTCATTGCAGCACTATGTACAATAGCCAAAAGATGGAAACAACCTAGATGTCCATCACGTGAGGAATGGATAACCAAACTACGGTACATACACACAATGGAATACTATGAAACCCTAAAGAATAACGTAGAATCTGCAAAACACCACATAACGTGGATGAACTTGGGGGACATTATGTTGAGTGAAATAAGTCAATCAGAAAAGGACAAATATTGTATTAATTAGTCTGTTATTGTAAAAGTCAAGGAAAGGTTTATCTATGGAAGGAAATTTTCTTTGTTGGTTACCAGGGGTGGGAAGGGAGGGGAGAGAACACTGTTAGATAGGTAGAGATAAGTATTGATTTGGGTGAAGAGAAGGGCAATGTACCAAATGTGAGTGATCAACATGGTGGCATTCAGGAAGAGCAAGGCACAGAGAGGTACATGGGAGGTACAGACAACAAAGATGAACCCTTTTGAACATATAGTACTGCGTTGTCAGTGAAGGCAAACACGGGTATATGGGTGGATACACGGGTGGACAGGCTGAACTAGTAGGTATGTCTATGCAGCAGGGCGTATATCCAAGACCACGTATAGGGTTGTCAGACAATGGTCTTATAAGTATATTTGTAGGATCTGAATTCCCAGGTGTATAGTAGAGCTGACAAGAGACAAGGTTGTAATCACTTCTTGGTCACAGCCAGCTACCTAGAGGGACCGAGTCGTTGAACCTGTGGGCTTGGACCATAGTCACAGGGGACATCAAGCTCAGCTGGCATAATATACCACACAAAACATTGTTCCACCTCCTACTTTGGCGAGTAGCGACTGGGATCTTACAAGCTTGCAAGTAGCCATCTAGATGCAATGATGGATCTCTCCTCGTCCAGAGCAAAGGAGAATGAAAAAAAACAAAGATTCATGGAAACAATTAGTCCTAGTGACTAGTACACCATGTGATCCTCAGCCTATGAGACCAGAAGAACTAGATGGTGCCTGGCTACCACTGTCAACTACTCAGAGGGGGATCTATATAGGAGATCCTGAATAGGGAGGGAGAACAATGTGCAACAAAACTCAAAATCATTTTTTGGGGGAGAAAAAAGGCAGGGGGAGACCAGGTTTGCTGGCCTGATAAAGCCTGGTGGAACCACTGAGACTATGGCCCCTAGCTGCCCTTCAGGTCTGGAATTGAACCCACACCTGTAGCTTCTAGTCAAACAAAAGACAGGCATAGGAGTTGAACATTTACCTGAGGTAGATAATAGTCCTTAAAGAGAACAATCATGGGAGAAAGAACGGTGGTTTATGCACAGGGAGACAGCTCAGGGGGCAGGAGTGCACGGAGGGATGGACACAGGGAAGAGGTAACTATTGGGAGGAAGTGGGAGGGGAGCTGTTGCATTGCGGTAAATTGCAGTCAATGTCATGAGACAAATTATATGTGAACTGCTGTGTGGAAAGTGAATTTGCTCTGTAAATTTTCAGCCAAATCACAATAAAAAAAGAAAATAAAAAAAGAAAAAGAGCAAAAGAAAATAGTCAGTAGTTGACAAGGTAAGTCTCATGAAATAACACGTACGAAAGTGCTCTGTTAAAACTATAAAATAACATCTATGAGGCCAATAAGCCTGTGCTGATTTAGCACTACTCTTAAAGGTGTTCACTGACAGCCAGAGTATATAGTACTATACATTATTGCATTAATTTCACTGTATAAGACTCATAGCTATCTAGTGATACCAAGACTGAGATTTTCTATTTATAATCTTTCCAAATAGGTAAAACCATGAAGAGTCAAGCAAATAAACCTGCTGCTGTCAAGTAGATTTTGGTTTAGAGAGCCAATAGGACAGAGTAGGACTGTCCCATAGAGTTTCCAAGGCTATAATCTTTACCAAAGCAGACTCCCACATCTTTCTCCTGTGGAGCAGCTGGTAGATTTTAACCACTGACCTTTCGTTTAGCAGCCAAGTGTACTGTACCACCAGGGCTCCTAAATAATATTGAACACTTTACAATTTTCCATGTCTTTCTTGGGCAGCAAATAAAGGTCCTAAAAACCAGGCTCTCCTAAATATATTATATATTTATGTATTATATAATTATAGTATATAATATATTAATATATATAATTATAAATAGATTATATATGGCTTGGTAAGTCAAACAACCACCTTAGAGAGATTATAGAGGGAAAAAGATACTAATTCAATCATTCGACTACCCAGCCCCTCATCCAACATGGTATTCCTTTGGTTTCTGTATGTAGCTCTGTCTGTACCCATTTCTTAGCCTCATTCAACCAATTAAAACAATTATGGGCTCTCACGTAATAAGCTGAATAGATAAAGTAATAAAACAGTTTTAATATTTCCTTGGCCAGAGCAATACATTGATTGCCACTTTGCCTAGACCTTTCCCCTTCCCAACCCCTAGGGCTCCATACCTCTTTCACAAGTCAAGGTTCTTGACATTTGTGAAACCACTTAGTTGCCTTTCAATTTCCCCTGTATTTGCCAGAAATTTGCTACACTTCCAAAAAGTGCCCCTTGAGTTGTACAATATTCCCAGACTCCCATTTACCGCCTGGAGGAGTCCTTACTAATTTTAGATTCTAGGATGCCTTCCGTGAGCAATTAGCCATCCAGAGTCTCCACCCCCATCCTGCTTAGACACCCAACCACACAGAACACTGAGAAAACAAACACACACAGCCATCAGAAGCTAAGGGTAGCTTTGTCACTTTCATAGATAGCTAGATTAGAGACCTTTCCAAAAGAAAAGATGTTGTCTATCTTTCCCCTAGAGAATAGAGTGTGAGAAACAGCAGCAAAACAACAGATAGATAAGACTCAGATAAAAGATAAGACTCAGATAAAAGACAAGACTAAGAAACAGGACAGAAAGGGAGAGACTGACAGAGAAAGAGACTAACACAGATGGGTGTGGGGGGAGGTGGCAAAGACAGAGGGGCAGACAGAGATATACCAGGAAAGAGCAACTCTGAAGGTGGATTTCTCCCTCTGATTTCCTGATCATAAGAATCCATTTTAAAGCAAGGGAGTAAATCACATTTAAACAATAACTGGTTCAATGGTGATTCCCAAGCACCCATTGTTTCTGTTCAGATGCCTCTCTTTTAAAGAGTCTTAATAATCACCCCCTAACACATACACTATTTATATATCCTTTTCAGTCTTTCTCCCAATACGGATACCGAGGGACACAGCAACTGGATTGAAGGAGCTACAACAACCTGGAAAACTTTCAAATTTATGAGGTGTGGTTCCCTTACCTTCAATAACACCACATCCATAGTCCTGTCCATCTTGGAGATGTCACACAGGCTGTAGCGCCTCTTGTGCCGTTCATACATTTTGTCCAAATGCAGAAGAGAGGAGACAAAATGCAGGCAGTATACCCACTGCTAACTTGGGGGGCCAGAGTGTTCCACGTTAAGTCCAGAGTTCCAAGTTGCCAAAAGAGCTGGGGAAGAGCTGTCTTCCAGACTCCACTATACAGAGTATCCTCAAAGGGTCAAATATGAATTTTAAACAAAAAACAAAAATAAGCAGGATCCAATTCTTTGAAAAGAGAACTTTCTGGCAACTTCAGAGCACTGGGATGACGAACTTACAATTCATAATACAAACAATAAATGCTTCTTGATGCTATACTCTGTGCAAGTCTTAACTGAAAGAGAAGCACATCGTTTCCATCACTGGCATTAACTCCAGTGGAAAATTTAAAAATTAACTGGCTAAGCATAATGGCCGACACAGGTGGGGAAAAAACCCAAAGGAGGCAATAAAAATCCAATATGCACTTTGCCAAGAAGGGGGGAGTGAAGAAAAGGGGAACACAACTCTATTTCAAAGTATTAAGGTAAAATAATTCTCTGATTAAAAAAAGAAGAAGAAGAAATAATGAGGATAAGGAAAATAAATTTTTCCTTCACAGGGATTAAAAAAAAAAGAAAAGAAAAGAAAGAAAAGGCAGAAGCCGGCATATTCTTTTCCAAGTAAATCGTTTTTAGAGTCTGTCTCTTACTCACCAGGCAGTAGAACTTGGTTTTCCTTTAAGTTGAAATATCTAATGAGAGCTGAGTCAAAGGGAAAAAAAGACCACTCCTCCAGCTCTATGCCCTCCCCTCTCTTCTTCCTGTCAGTATGAGCCCTTCCCCACCCCATCCCTTTCCCCTTTTCTCTCTCTCTTAAGAACGTCACTACTTGCCCTTTCAGCTCTGCACCAGCAGCAGCCTTGGAGGTTTGAAAACCTAATTGCAGTGGTGGGAACATGATTCATCCACAGACAGAGGAGAAAAACAAGACTTCCTTTTCCAACCCACTTCCTCCTCCTCCTCCTCACACCAGTCTCCTATGAAAAAGGCTCTGTCAGACAGTGCAAGGTGCAACTCGAGTGTTTTGATGTCAGGGTAGTATGGCAATAAAGGAAGGGGGATGTCACCCTAAACAAGTACAGCATACTTTTCTGTTCCAAGAAGTAAAGAAAACCAAAACTACCAATGGATAGACAGCATCGCCCTGACAAACGTAAACCAATGATTTAATGTGAGAAAAATGTTAGCCAAGTATTTCAGGGCTATGGCTCGAGGAGTCAAGGATCCAGAAGTGGCTATGACAGTGTCTGACAATGTTTAAAAATCAAGAGATAAGTTTTTTGTTTTTTGTGGGGAGGGTGAAGAGCTTTAAAGAAATGAGAGAAAGGAGGAGTAGAATGTATAGGCATGTGTGACTAAGAAGAGTCACCTGGCTGGGATTTCTATTCCATTCACCAAGTTCATTCTCATTTACAGGGCCTTGTGTGTGCTATGTTACTTCATTTGCCTCTAGCCCCCACCTCATCTCACACTCTCAAGGTTAGACCTATTTCAGAATTTATTCTCTCACTTCAGACATTCTCTCACTTGGATCATAAATGATTCAGGAGGGAGAAGGAACTGATGGAAGTAAAAAAGAGGAGTGGAGGGGGCAAAAAAAAAAAAGATTTTTCTCTTTCCAGAGCATTAAGCTACTGACATTTTCCTCAAGTGGTCAATGAGTCCTTAACTGTAAGTGGAGAGTATAAATGTGGGAGTTCAAATCACAACCAAAAAGAAGAGAGATTTAATGCCTAATTTTCTATCACCATTGCAAACAAAGCTGATGAGAAAAGTTTTCAAGAGTTGTAGAATAGAAGGTCTGATGAATCACCATTTCCTCAGGCCAGTCATCGAGTTGCTAATGAGCTTAAATAAGGAATGAAGCAAACTCTGCTAAGAAAGTAAGCATTTTCCTCATCTACTGTTAATACACCATAGTTACAGCTGTAACGGACTCAGCCTTTTATCTCCTTCACCCCTCACTGTTTCATTCTAGGCATGAAGGTGAAGGCCCCTTTCCATCCCCACATGCCCGGTGGACAGCCCTGTAATGTTAGCAACATGTACAGTTAAACAGATGTTGCTTTTCACTAGTGATGATGATAGAAAACAGTAGAAACAAGATGATTAGAGAGAGATTAAAAAATTGTAAATAAAATTCTTGCTCAGGCTTACCAAAAGCATGAGAACTTGACCAGGGATTTACAAATACTTTGAAACTATGTGGTCCAGGGAAAAGACTGAAAGTTCCCTTAGGCTTTAGTGTATAGAAAAAAATGATAGTTTATTATCTTTCCTGTATTAACTTTCATTTTCATCAAGCTATAATTTAAACTTTCCCTTCTCCCTATATGAACACAAAGCAGACTCCCCTCTGTCCTCAATATGGTTTATTCCTTACAGCCGCTCCTTACTGTTTTAATTAGAATCAAATGTTTCCTGCTTCCTAGGTTCCCAGGCATCTCTCTAGGGACAGAGATGCTTTAATCACTATAGAGCCTTTCTACTTCCAACCCTATTTGAACCATTAATCTGTATCTATTAAACAGATATATGATGTACCTTATAGTGGCAGCAAACAACTGAAATAAATAACAAGGTCTCTGTCCTCAAAAAGTTTGTAAAATTAGAGCGAAATCTGTTTAAAACACACACACACACACTTTTTGAATAGCCTAGACTATACTATTTGAGACACAGAGAGTAATCTTTTTATTTTGCACTACAGGCTGGAAATGTAGCTCTTCTATTCTTTCTGCATATGAATATATGAAAAGAAGGATTTGGAACTGTCCTGACATACTCTGCTGCTTTTTAGGGAACAAATGTTCTGGGTGGGGAAAAAAAGAGTCTGTTTTGCTTTCCCCTCTGGAGCTGCTGAGCACTCCCCCCAACAGCAGACAGAATTTGTAGTCCTGTGCTTTTGCTGATGTTACAATTCCAACTTTTTATCAAAAACATCTGGAACCACTGAACAGTTTATTCTGTTAGGATTTTCAAACACAGCAACCAATCATTTTATACCCAAACCAGAGCTGAGAGTTGTGAATTTAAAGGAGGTTTTGAGTATATTCTCCTCCCCTTTAACTCTGGGAACTTGCAGTAAATTATTATTTACAACCACTTACAACAGTAAGTGCAATATTAATCATATCTCCCCTCTCTGTGTCCTCCATCCCACACTCTATCCACAGTGAGTCCCAAATTCCACAACAGAAGCATCCAGTGCTTTTTGTCTGTCTTATGCCAGAAGCCCAACATATATCCTTCAAGATTCCAGAAAATTAAGTATAAAAATATTTTATGCATTTTAACTATATAGCACTCTGTTCATGAATTAAATTTTCTCTTGATGTATTTAATTGCTAGAGTAAATTTTAAAAATATAAATTGTTTAAGCATTCTTATGGGTCAACTCTCTGGTTCCTTTAGTTCCAGATAGGACAGAACCCCCTTCTAAAGTCCTACAGCAAGGTTTCTGAATTAGAGCACCATCTAGTGGATACTGTGAAGACCTAAATAGAACTCCAATGGCCAGTTAAATATTTAGAGGAAAAATGTTAAAAGTCTACACTACTAAATGTTTTCCTTGAAAACCTAAAGTGAATAAAGATGCAGCAACCTGTGACCTGGCACTTGTTTAATGACCCATAAAATGATCAACTTGGTCTCTGTAGGGAATACAAGATAGTAAGTTGAAATTCAAGGGGTTTCCTGTTCCTAGATGTGCCACTCACTGAGCAACTTGGAATAATTAGTCCTAGGTTTCCAGAACTGAAACATGAGGGGAGTTGGACACTAGGATCCTATCTCAAGTTCCTTCCTGCTCAAATATCATATATTACCAGTCTAACCCTAAGAAATCATGATCTACCACCAGTCAGCTCATAGGATGTGGGTGGAATCAGAGGAGAAAGAAAACAGAATTGAGACATTCTCTCAAAACTCTGTGTAGAAAATACCTAGCTAGCATTCTTACACCATTGCATTTTCTACCTGTACTTTCACATGAAATAAGAAAGACCAGTCTACTACCTCAGTTAGCAATTTTCATTTTTCTGTGATTTCATTACCTTAAAAAGAGTGAGTCATCCAAAGCTACACATTTGATGGTGGCAAAATTTTACTACATTACAGATAAAGCATTTAGTCTCCACTTGGGCAATTCCTGCCTGCTTAGAATAAAAGACTGCTTCATACAGGATGTCTATGTATTTGAGAGGAGAAAGAAGGAAGTTATTTACAATGGTGGAAGAGGACTTGTTTCCCTATAAGATCTCCATTTTAATTTCAATTTAGGTGTTTAAGCAGCCCAGGTTTAGGAGAAGGCAAAGCATTCCCTCTTTGCATTTCCATGCATTAACACACAGATTTAGAGGTTTGAGAAAGGTGAAAGAGCAAAGAGGACTGGGAGCAGTAAAAGGCAATCAACCAGCTCTTTTTATCACTTTCTCAAGCAGCAGCAACCAATGCCTTTACTTTAACCCTTTACTATCTCTGTAAGGAGAAACCTTCTTAAAGATAATTTAGCTGGCAATAGCAAGTATAACTTGACAACAATAACAAAGAGAAATTAATGGAAGAAGGTAAGAAAAAAGCTTAAATAACCTCTCTTCACAAACTTAGGTTCCTTACAAAAGAGGTCCCATGCAACGATACACAAATATTAAATACACTAAAATTGCCAGCACATTTTATCTTGCCACTTTAGCAATCCTTCAAATTAAAAAAAATATAAAGCCATATGGAGAAAACGAGTTAAAATTTCAGAAAAGAAAACTCAGAATTCATTACCCATCACCAATGGTCTCAAATATGATTTTACATATATGCCAAAGGGCAGAAAAGGATGATATTTTTAAAGTAAAAATGACAAATTATGAAGTAAAACTGCTTGCTCAAAGTGAGGATGACTTGAAACATTTGCTGATGAAGACTGAAGACTGCAGTCTGCAGTATGGATTACATTTCAATATAAAGAAAACAAAAATCCT